TACCCCACATTGCTCACCAGCTAGTCACTAACTTCTGTCTACATGTCTGTTGGTTGATGCTGTGCAGATGGTGTCCAGAAGGCATTTCAGAGTTTTACACTTATGAGAGAAGTGAGAGTGAACCAAAACAGAAAAGATGTGGGCCAGAAAACCTAAACAAACGGAAAGACACTAAAAAGTTTAAGTTTATTTGATAGGGACAGATGCTATAAACATTTACATTTATTCATTTAGCTGACACTTTTATCCAAAGCGACTTACAATTGTTATACATGTAAGAGGTCACACGCCTCTGGAGCAATTAGGGGTTAAATGTCTTGCTCAGGGACACAATGGTGGATAGGTCACAATGGGGAATTGAACACCAAAGGCATAGTCTTATCCATTGCGCCATCACCACCCCTTAAACATAGAGAATTATACAACAATTTTCCATTGCACAGCATCACAGCATTTATAGCTACTGCTAATTTCTAATGCCCGTCCTTAGAAGAGTGTTTAACATTTCAAATATACAACAAACATTAAACATAGTAAAAGTAAAACAATTGAGTACATACAGGTATACACCCACCAATCCCTCCCTCCACCCCCATCCCTACACATGACTACACGACTGATTATCTTTTAAAAATGTCTTCAGTTTAGTTTTAAATTGATAATTTTTTTCTGTTTTTAGCTCACTAGGCAGAGAGAGCATGAGAAGTCTGTCCATGCAAACACTTAATGATGCGGTTTACGTTTGCAAATGCAATAATTATCTAAACTTAACATGTTCAGGTCTCTTAGGACGTTCTGTTGGTTTGTCACTACGAGCCACCACTTACACATTATATGTAGCTATTATGTTAATATAAAATGAATGATGTCTGGTGATATAACCTGTCACGGGTCTCTACTGGTTATTTTTGATAAGCAGTTTGTGATTTATTACATGAGCTACCTAGAATTTTGTGTCAGACTCAATGGCAGTCACTAATTTTATAAGCCATTTTAAAGGCAACTTGCCATCTTTAATATCCTGGCCATATTGATAGGTATTTCCATATGAATTATGTAATCAAAGACCCCTTCATGCCAAAGGTCAACCTATACATGTGTTTTCACTTGTGTTGCCTGAGTAGACACCTTGTCTACAAACAGTGTGGGCGTGTAAATAATGTTAATTGACATCTCCCTCACTCTCCTGTGAGACTGGTTGCCCCCGTCAGGGTGAAACAATGTACTCCTTTGTCATGTACTTTACGGCACAGCTCCACTTAACTCTGAATTTTGGAGGTAGGGTGACGCTTTGAATCACATATAGGCCTATTTCACAGAAGACTTTTTGACATGTCAGAGTAGTAAAATCAAAGGTGTAAATATACTGCCTGCATCTGACAGAGTAAGAGGTCAGAGGTCACAAGTGATGCATCATGGCTCTATCAACTACTCAGCATTATTTAACCGCTGGAAAGGCTAAATAAAAACAGACCAGATGAAGTTAGTAGATCATCATGTGATCCTAAACAAGACAATGAAGCAGATAAACATGTCAGCTGTTGAGGGGATGGGGTTTGTAACCTCTGGGCTAAAGGTTAGAGAGCATGGACACATCACACGTCATCGCATGGACAGACAATTGCAATGTATTACTCTGTCAGTGAATCATTGTTGTAACATTTTTAATATAACCACCTATATTTTGTACCTGACTGCAGTACCAATAAACACTTTACTTTAAAAAATATGAATGTATTTTCGACAAAAACCCTTTTGGACATTTAACAAAAGAAGACAATCTTACAGCCACATAAGATTTATCTAAATAAAATACAGTCATATATTATATTTTACATTTGTAAATACAACTATAGCAAAAATTGGACAGTTCTACTCTAAATGGATAAATAAAGGGGATTTTTGCTGCAAAATCATGATAATGATCATAAGTTGACAAAAAACATACTACAAACCACAATGTAGAAACCATCTCTTTTCAAACAAGGTCAAAGCTCACTCCTGACACTGATTTCACAAATGGAGTTTCACTTGTGGATAGGCACTATTAACACCACATCAAAGCGTTTCTCTGTGTGTGTTACGATGTGTGTGTGTATGCACAACATGTATGCAGAGACATGTGTCTGTGTGTGCTTGGGAGTGAGAAGTGTATGGAATAAGATAAGGCACGTACTATGGGTGTCTTATCGCGGTATACAGACTGCTATCTGTAGAGATCGACATATCTAAGGGTGGACACTGGACAATATCTAAATTCTAGACCCTTTGCTCTCTGTACTACTGTCCTATGTGTGTGCGGGATTAAGACTCAGCACGCTGCATGTAACGGTTTACTTTCACTGTTACATGCCTGCCTGCTTGTGTGTTTGTCTGTTTACATTTGTTCATTTAGCTGTAGCTTTTATTCAAAGCGACTTACAATTGCTATAAATATCAGAGGTCACACACCTCTGGAGCAACTAGGGGTTAAGTGTCATGCTCAGGGACACACAGGTGGATTGAACCCAGGTCTCTCACATCAAAGGCATGTGTCTTATCCACTGCGCCATCACCACTCCAAACAAATTGCCATGATATTGTTATGGCCTATTTATTAAAGTTGTTGATATAATGCATCTGTTTTTCATGAGTGTTATTTCTGACACCACTGATTGAATCTGAATCGAAATTTGATTGCATTTCACCACTTTTTTCACTGTTTTCAGAATGGCACTTAATGTGGAGCTAAAACTATAGGTAGCATGGAATAGCAGGCAGTGTTGTGGTGTGGGATGTTTCTGTTTAGTCTCATTTTTTGTCACAAATCCTATCAATTAATGCAGATAATAGGATGATGAAATGTGTTTATTTTAGTTTACTTTCACTGTTACATGGTGGTTGAGCCCCAGTGTGTCAGGTTCATTATGAATATTGGAGGGTTTTGGTGACTAACTCTGAAAAAGAAGCAACTACTAATGAGTATTATCATTTTGTGCAAAGTGATCAATCAGATAATTAAGAAACAGAACTGTGGCATGAGTATGAAAATGCTCGGAGAACATGAGCATGACAACATGAACAGTTCACACTGAATGGAGTGCACACAGCCATTTTGCAATGACTTCAACACAATGGGGTCATTTGCAATTACTGTGCTGACTAAGTTGTGTTTGGTAAGTGTCATTGACTGTGAGTCTACATTATGTCAATATATGAGCAAATAAATGCATTTTCTGGGCATTTATTGGGCGGGGCATTTATTGGGCGGGGTACATGCTGACCTTTTATGTTTTGAGAAAGGTGGTCACTGGCATGTTAACTGACAAAAAGAAAACTCATTAAACCTTAGAACACGTTTTGGTTCTTAGACCTTTTATTTTGTCCTTATTAAGATCTAAAGATCAACATTTAGTTTTTACAGACCAGTTTAGTCATCTAGCAGAGTGGAACAAGCTGAAATAAAGTAATAAAAAACTTTTCAGTGTTGTCTGCAAGATTTTATTCACTAAGAAGATTCTCTGGTGGCCAAAACTACAACTGTTGTCTGATAAGCTAGGATTTAATGTAAGGAAAATAATTTGGGAAGGGGGCCTAGACGGCATAGCGTTATTTTTAGAAAGGTGAAAGGTAACTAAAGGTAGCCTAATTAAAGGTGACCTTTTTCAGTTATCTACCACCTAAACAATCTTCCTGTGTATGGGAGCCACTATATGCCTATAGCTGGTTGCACCTCTTCTTTCAGTTTGGTTGCAGTTTAATCCAAATTGACATTAAAAACATTAAGAGTGTTGTCATCGTACGGGCATGCACACTACTCACTGTCTCTGGGTTCCGGATCCAGTCCTTTGAACCTGCCCGGGGGCCTAGCGTCCACCACCTGGAACTTTTTGGTGTCCAGGTTATCCAGGATATCCTCATAGGTTTTGATCCAGGAGCGGTTCAGCGAGGCCTTAAACTCGGTCGGTGTTGGTCTGGCGTACTGGTCACTCATCGGTCGACCCTCCAGCTCCCAGTTCCTGAGCCCCCCGTTGAGCAACGAGACCGCGCTGTGCCCAAACACCCGGAACATCCACCACACACGGGGCGCCGAGAACGCGCCGAACTCGCTGGCGTCGTACACCACGACGTGCGTGTCGCACTCTATTCCCAAATTTCCGACATAATCTGCAAACCTCTTCTCTGACGGGAGCATGTGGTCCAGAGGAGAAGTTTTATCACAACATTGGTCTATGTCAAAGAAAGCTGCGCCCGGGATGTGCCTTTTCTTGAACTCGCTCTTGGCGTTCCGCCGCAATTTGGGCAAATACCAAGACGTGTCCAAGATGCGCATTTTCCCCTGGACATTCAAGGCCTCCGCAAGCCATTTAGAGGTGAGCAGAGCTCTTGCCTGAAGTGCCATGGCAAATTCTGAGAGGTAGACAGGCTACAAAGGTTACTGCTGTTAAACTAGATCGACCCACTCCTGTGCCAAAAGTTGAGATAGCAAGTGCATAAATGGTGGAGAGAGAGAACAATGACCAACACGCCCACAGTTCACAGTGCAACAGCTGGAAGTGAATGGAGGCGGTGACGCTTTACAGTAATGTGATTACTTTGTAACGAGTAGCCTATAACTAGTACGCTATTTAGCTATAGCCAAATTCTATAGGATAAACTGTATTTAAACTCATTTAGTAAAATAGGCCACATCAGTCAATTACTAGAAACGGCTAACCTTAGAGAAATATGATTTATTATTACAAATTTAATAGCTCATAATGTATTCTAGTGTGGATGATTTTTATTTAGGATATAATGAATCTGGATCTTGCATGTTCTGTTTGCTGTGGGACATTAGTGACCCTATAATCTGTAATTCATTTTTTAGTATTATTAGTAGTAGCAGCAATAATAGCAATAGTCATAGCACTATAGCTATCTAAAATGTAGGCTAGGCTGAGGTAGGTACAGTCTATATGGGTAGAAGCGGTGGAAGTTACCAGGTCGGGAACTTAAGGCATCGTTGACTAGGATCCGGCCGGTTGATTTCACATGGTGCACAAGAGTAACGTAACCGGATGTTGATAGCCGCACACGTTGCTGTTCAGCATTGAAGACCCTTCTTATCGACTCAGCGCGTAGTCACTTCAACAAAACCTCTGAATATTATTCAATCAGGATGTCTGCTTCTTTGATCAGGAGAGGACTGGAGCTGCTGAGCGACGATATTAAAGGTCAGTGTAGACTTTTGATTTGCTAGCTAAATTACAGGTGGCTTACATTAGCGTTGAACAACTAACGCTCCTACTCTCTCTAATTATGATTCTTAATGTCATTTACAAACGAACCACTACAAGGAAAGAGCTCCAATACAGGCTTTTAAAGATTTTTTACTTATACAATAAAACCATAGCAGTAATTTTAATGTTAAGCCTCATGAAACAGAAAGCAAACCACAATCCCCATTTGTAAAGTTAAAATCACCATAATATATATAGTTATATATTTAGCTATGCATTTTCATAAAGTGTACTAAGCTTTAGTAAGCTAAGTTTTAGTGCATTGGCTAATTGGTTACCAACGCACATAGAGGGAAGTATTGCCTTGTTAGCAGCGTACATTTGGTTTTACTCCTTTCTTTATGTCCTGTGCACCCTGCCAGATGTCAGTAAAGTGAAAAAGAAGAAGCAGCAGCAGCAGACACCCAGCTCGGCCACGGTGATGGAGCTGGTGAGCACAAAGCGGCAGGGAGTCACCAAGCAGGTCAAACGGCTGCAGGGTCGCCTGGGTCCCGGGAAGAGCAAAGCCACAGTCAAAGACAAGAGAGTCAAGTCTGCAGTGGGTCAGTCTGTCTGTAGTCCTGCACAGAATCATTGTTCAGAGCGAAACACATCCTGACGTAGAATTCATATGTTATTTCAGTGTGCAATGTGCCGCTCCGTTGTAGTCTGTGAATTTATTAAACGCATTTATATGCCAGTTAGTGGACTAGACTAGTGGATTTTTGCATTTAATGGGGAACACGGGCTGTAATTAAAAAACCTAAAACTGACTGTCATTATGTAGATTGTATAATAGGGTTTACTCTGTCTCTCTCTCCAGGTGTACACCAGAACCACTAGGTGGCTCTGTTATGAAGTTAACAACCTTTCAGTAACCAAGCAGAAATAAAAGTTAATCATTGCCATAATTTAGACTTATTTAGAGTTATTGTAATTGCTTTGAGAACAGAGTTAATTGTAATTACTAGTACAGCACAACATATGTTCTAATGTTTGCTCTAACCTTCCTCTTCTACTTTGGTATTAATTGTAGAGGAGTTCAAGAAGAAGCAGAGGAAGAGCCATATGAGTGCTAACCTCAAGTACTTTATGGAAACCAGCTACAAAGCAACAGATTCAGACACTTTGAAGGTAAGAGACAGAGATTAATCTCCTATTAGTATTGATGACCCGCATTGCTTTTAAAGTAGTGTCATTTTTATATCAAATTGCTAAGAACAACTATTAAGGAAAAATCTCACCATGTCTGAGAAATCTTACTTTTTACTTAACTGATATTGAAAAAGCAATCTGATAATTGTGTGATTCATATTTGTATTATTTGATCCTTTGGATTCACTTTACTTCTAGTTTATATTTATATAGAACTCCCATATAGTTCATACGGTGTTGACAAGCTCAATGTCTCACTTCCTCAGATCCTGAACCACAATTCAGGGAGACAGTCAAGGAATCGTCTGGACCGACCCCCCAAGAAAGCCAAAGAGCCCGAGTCTTTGTTCACAGAGGAGGAGTTCCAGCAGTTCCAGAAGGAATTCTTTGGCAGGACTGTCGAGGAGAAGAAATAAAGCGCACCAAACACAGACACCAAAGACACTACAGCCACAGTGGAAACACCAGAGCTGCGTTTTGTAGATTTAAAGTGGATTTCTGGAGTCCTGGAAGTTGGTTCCACTTCACATGTCTCAACAATGGCACAAGAACACATACTGTTGCATACTGGGAACATATGATCTCCAGGGTTTGTCCTGCCAAGAGTTTCGCCTCAAAAAGTGTCCATACTGATACTATTGTAGCTTGAACTTTACTGCTTCCTCATCAAAACTTCTCATCTGAAAATGACTCATAACTAGTAATTAGCCACTTGTCATTTTATAAGGAAAAGTGCAGCTTATTAAAACGCTTTATTCCTAATAAAAAATGTACATATGTGTCATATTACAGCTCAGTTGAGTCACTTTGTTTACACACATTGAGAATGTAACCTATATTTGAATTGTCAAAGTAAAGATTCAGACACCATACAAGGTTTATCTTATATAGAAAATAGTAAACTTCTTTTCCATAATTATAATTAACTGATGTTCTGATTCTTCTTTAAATTGTTTCGGTGATCTCCTCCAGTTACAGTTCCAATCAGGATAGTTCAGTTCAGTGCCAGAAATTAATTGAATTAAGACATTTATTATTGAGCAGATATCCAAAGAAAGTTTACAGGATCACCGGTTGACTTTGGCATTTTCATTCAGGCTGTAATGGCATTAAATATACATGCAGAAATAATTTCAAAATGGAAGTATGTATGTGTTTAGCTACGATCACAGCTTGCTAGACTCTTTCCAGAAAAACAGGTTTAACTATTGAATCATGAACATTCAGTTTTGTGCATGAAGACAAAATTAAGTGTTGAACTTAAATGCCTCCTGTGGCTGTTCCGCCAGTGTATGAATGTGTGTGAATGTTAGTTTCTGTTTGAGCACTTAGGCTCAGTGTGTGACTGGTGAATGCAGATGTAGTGTAAAAGCGCTTTGAGTGGTCGAAAAGACTAGAAAGGCGCTATATACAAGTACATTGGATCGCATATGCTAAATTGCTGTGGATGTAGATACTGTTGTGCCTGTTTCTTTCAGCATGTCCATTCACCTTTGCTGTTCTCACTAGGGGACAGAACACATCTCCTTTGTGAGTGGTATGACAGCTGCGTGATCCCATGGTGTTTATTCTTGTGTATTACTGTTTGCTCAGATGAAGATGGACTTGTGGAGTTACACAATATTTATTCAAGGTTGTGGCTTTTTTCTTTAGATTTCCCCATAATATCAAGCAGTGATGCACCAATTTTGAAGGTAGGCCTTAAAATACATCCACAGGTAGACCTTCAATTGACCCAAATTATGTGAATTAGCATATCTGAAGCTTCTAAAGCCATGACATGGTTTTCTGGGATTTCACAAGCTGATTAAACGCACGGTCTACTTAGTGTATGTAAACGTCTGACCCCACTGAAAGTGTGATATAGTGAATTGTAAGTGAAATTCTGTAACCAATTGTTGGGATAATGACTATTTTAACACACAAAGTAGATGTCCTAACAGACTTGCCACAACTATAACTTTTTCACATGGAATTTGTGGAGTTTTAATGATTTCACCATGACTTCAAGTGTATGTAAGCGTCCAACTACAACTGTCTATCAGTTGATGCTCTCACTTTACGCTTTGTTATCTGCATGACATCAGAACTTTTAGTGGGTGTGTAAACAAGAAAATGCAAGTGCTTGAATGACAAGGAATGAATACCAGTTGAATGGTGAGATGTCATATTCTCATCCAACCTGTTCAGCATTCAGAAGTCGATGAATGAGTGCTGCAAAAGAGAGTCATCGCACAACGAGTCGATTACAGCAGGGAAAGTTGCACAATGGCACAGGTAAGAAATAAGATAATTAGATCATGTGTAATGATTGATATAAGTATATTAATTAGTTTTTAACCAAGAGCTACTATACAAATTAATGCGTACATTATGTTATTATTTCAGTGGTGTATGTTAATCAGTACTTATAGTCTATGATATGGATTTCTGAAACACAAACACTATTCTGCAGTGTTTGGAAGGTGCTATATAAATAAACTTGCCTTGCCTTGAAGTCCCCCTCCTCTCAAAAATTGTTTTGCAACATAACAGCTAGTTTGGAAGTCAATCGTGGACCGACATGCAACTTACACAAGTGTGATGTAGAAACTTTTGAAATTAAAAATATTTGTAAGTCTTTTTAAAGAAGTATGTGTTATTTTAATCATTTTTAACCAGTTTATTGATTTTGTCTGGGTTAAAACAAAAGACACAAATTATTATTCAAAGTATATTATTTTATATGTGCTGATATTTAACAAATGAATCAGATTTTCTGTGTGGGAGGTTGCTAATTGCCAACACATTATTTCTACCTAATAATAAAAATTGGATTTTTACAGATTCTGAATTTTTTAGTATTTAACAGTTAAATTAAATTAAACAGTAAACACATTTGTTCAGAGCAAAAGTGAAACCAGCAAAAAAGAGTTAAATGTGGCTACAACAAAGATGTAGTCAATCATGTCTGGCATGCTTGGCAAGGGCAATTAACAGCTCAGATATCTCTTCAGATTAGGTCACACATAAACAATGTTTTGTCTTGATCAAATGCTTTCCTTATGAATTCTTTTAGGGATGGCTAGATCACAGCCCTGATGGAGTCGGGTTAGGAATTTGACTCCAATTAGGACCATGTTTAATTTGATATGTGCACGCTGTTTTGAAAGTTAATGTAGGCTCAACGCTTTGCATAAAAGATGTGAACTGCAATTTTAGAATCTGCAAAATTTCAGACAAGTGAGGAAATTGAGAAAATTCTAATATCACAAAATTTATCGTGAATGAATACCATTCTAAGACAGTCCAAACAGATTCAGTGTTTAAATATACTGTATGTACGTTGTTGACTGATGCCGTCTCTCTTTCTGCAGCCACCACCCTTTTCAAGGAGTCTGAAGTCCTGTCCAGACAAAACTAAAGATGACAAGCCTGGCTCTTCTCCTCAGTCTCCCACAAAATCTCCAGAGGTTGGTGCTCAGTAATCTCCACAGTCAGCCATGTTTAGTTTTACTCTGCAATGAGATCTAAATTGCATGTTAACTCAAACTGGCATGTGCACAGTCTTAAATTAAGAGTTCATCATAGTCTGTGGTCAAATAAAATTTTTCTTCTTCAACTTCTAGATGCTATAATTGCCAATATTTGGTATTTAGATACCTTTAATTATGACTGTGTTCTTGAGAAAAAGTTCATAATTAGAATTCAGACCAACAGCATAATTTTATCATTAACTGTGTACTGTGATCCTGACAAAAATGTATAATTCAGTCCAAACTTCATGATGCGTAGTTGCAAAGTTACAATAAATCATCAGAATGTGTCTTTCTATAGTACACGTATTGAACGTCCTTGCTTGAAGTCTTTGTATCTGTATTGGTAGATTTGTAGAAGCACTTTGAATGGCTGCAATGTTTGGAAGGTGCTATATAAATATCATAGACCAAAAAAAACATTTGGATTTTTACAGATTCAGTTTTTTTTGTTGGAGTAGCTGTTATTTAACAGTTAAGTTAAATTAAACAGTAAACACATGTTCGTTCAGAGCAAAATGAAAGCAGCAAACAAGACCTAAATGTGCCAAAAACAAAATGTAATCAATCCTGTCTGGCATGCTTGGCAAGGTCAGATCAACAATGTTTCTTGATCATGTCTATGCTCCTCATGAATTCCTTTGTAGGGATGGCTCGATCTCAGCCCTGATAGAGTAGATTGGGAATTTGACTCCAGTTAGGATGTAGGAACTGTCGGGAACTAGTTAATGTAAAGTTAGTGTTCTGAAAACACTTCATTAAAGCTGTAAAGTGCAATTTTAGAATTTGGATAAATGTTATCATGGATTGAGAAAATTCCAATATACAGTGAATACCTTCCTAAGAAAGTCTAAGCAGATTCAATGTTTTAATATACCACCCTCTCTCTTTCAGAAGCCAGTTCCCATGCCAAGAAAAAATATATCCCGTCCAGACAAAACTAAGGATGAAAAGCCTGTATGTAACACTACTCCTCTGTCTCCCACAAGATCTCCAGAGGTTGGTGCAGTGACCTCCACAGTCAGTGTGCTTTGTTTCACTCTGTAATGAGATCTAATTTGCATGTTAACTCAAACTGTCATGTGCAGAGCACAGTCTTAAATCAGATTTCATGTTTAATATTTTTTATTGATCTGATATTTCTGGATGGGATAATTAATAATATTGGGTATCAGTATTTTGAGACCTTTAATTATGACTTGAAAAATGTTTTATAATTAGAATTCAGACAAATGGCATAATTTTATCATTAACTGTGTACTGCCTTTGTGGTCCTGATAAAAATGTATAATTCAATCCAAATTTCATGATGCGTAATTCCAAACTTACCATACAATAAATCATAAGAACGAGTCCTTGTACCTTTCACACTATGACACTCATGACGATTACTTTTTTAATGTGTTCATTTCCCCTTCGGCTCAGGGAGGCTTGGGCTGCTCATCTCCTCCACCAGTGTTACCAAAAAAGTGGACTGTTAAAAAAGATCCTGGAGGATTTGACTCTGTAAATGGCATTAATATAGTAAAGGTAACATTGTTTTATGTTTTATTACAATTATGGGAAATTACCGGTTGATCAAAGATTTTTAGACAAGTAACATTTATTGTTTCTGTAGAGTGCAGTGTGAGCAAAGCAGCTTCTTAACTGAAGTAAAGTATGAATATGTTACAGATATCGAAACCACAAAATATTCTGGTAAATTTTATTTTGGGAGAACAAACTATTATGGAAAAAAGTGAGTTCTTCTTGATGTATGTTTTAAAATTGTATGAATCACTATCTAACTTGTAAAAAGTGGATCAGGTATCATCAAGTGGAATTGTAATTTTAGCTGAATAGTGTTGGAATAAAGAATGAAACTCAGCTAAGGCATGTCACTCACATAACATGCCAATTTAATAAAACTGGATTGTCACTAATTTTCTCAGGTGCTGCCTGAACTATCAATTAATGATAACCGTAGATTACTACCTCTGCTGCGTCAAAAACCTCTGAAAGAACAGCCTGATGACAAAAACGAAATCATGGTAACTATTTTACAACCATTAAGGTATTGTTCTAACACAATATAAAGTGAGTAAAAAGTACTTTTAGCTGTGTTGTAAATGACCTCTCATCTTCTACCAGGATGCCAACTCTTTGATGGATTGGTGGAAGAATGTGACACCGTGAGTAAAAACCGGTTTGAAAAGATATATATTTCTGTTAACTTACTGTTGCTGAACTACCGTTTCATTGACTTACAGCCTGGAACACTCTGTGTGAAGACATCA